ACCGCGAGGCGGCTAGGATATAGTCAGAAGGACATTACCAGCAAAGACATGGAACACTAAGAAGGCCTTTTCTGCCTTATTAGGCGTCATCGGCTAGTGATACCCGACCCCAGTGTGGCCGGTGAAATGGCTGCCAAACCGAGATTTGAACTCGCGATGTATGGTGTATGCATATCTGCCACTGCATATCCCCGATTTAATACTGCCAAGACCGTGAGCTCGTAGCTCAACTGTTAGGACGTTCGCCCGAACGGGAGAGATCGCGAATTCAAATCTCGGTGTGGCAGCCACTTCAGCGGCCACACTGGGCTTGGGTATCACTAGCCGATGACGCCTAATAAGGCAGACAAGGCCTTCCTAGTGTCCCATGTCTTTGCTGGTAATGTCCTCTTGCCTACATCCTAGCCGCCTCGCGGTGGAGGCTCGAGAGAGAGCTCTAATGGCAAAATGGACGGACGAGTGGGTCCTCTGACAAATCGGTGTACGCATATATGCCAATATATTTATGTTCACAGGCCATTGGTTTCTTTGATAAACGTTTTAATACTTACGTCAGTCACGATGACAAGAGTATGGACAATTCATCAAACTGACCAGATAAACACTCAGGAAGAAGGCAATTACCAGATTGCAAATGAAAAGGAAAATGATGTTGAAAAGTTTGTTTGCTAATCATATGTTTTTGTGAATCCTTCATGTGGCCGGTACAACTGCATGGATAATGAGGATAGTACAGTTGCACAGGATTGATAAGTGTCTTATGATTAAAAGTTATCGTTTTCACGCCGCCCACGTGTTCAAATCGGCATGTAGAGGTTAGTACGCTGAGGGAGGTGGGCAATTACGCTGTGAATATCAGTCATGTGTCGGGTATTTGGAGCGATCTATTCTCACTCTACATTTATATCTCGAACTTGGGAATCCATTTCTTAGTGTCAGTAGTACGGTAGGCTTCCCTCAGCATATCTTCACCCCTTTTTGCTATAGAAACAAAATTGGTGAATAAAATTTTCCCTATTCTTTTGGCGGGGGGTTGAGTTTGTTTCAGGCAGACCAGGGTCTGCGTTTCATTTCCGTGGCTGATAAAGCTGCCAGGTGATGCACTTATCGGACACACAACCAGCACAGTGTATATGCTCTGTGTTTAGTAGCTGATGGGTGGACTGGAATTCAGGTGGCAACGGCTCCTTATAATCCTCTGATTGCGTAAAGCCTGGTGTGTGTGTGTGTCAATGGGGCTAGGTCGTGCTGGGGCGGGCGTAGACGGGTTTGCCGGCCATATCAGCCACTGTGTTCATCCTACAAGAGACAGCTGACCGTCTTAGACGATGGCGTGATGCTTGCGGTGGGGGGGGAGACTGGAGTCGACGGCTCAGAGCATTTTATCACTAAAAACAATCTGTCGCGCCTGAAGCTACCAAGGTACGCCGAAAGCCGTGGCTTGGAAGGTTGCAAACTGACGGGAAATGTGGACTGCGCGGTCAAACCAGTGTGTACTGTGTTTTCTGGAGCGGCTGACTGGCAGACTGAGAGTCAGGGTGGAATGGCTCCTTCTTACTGTGGCCTTTAGGGAACTGCCACGCAGTTGGGATCGTACCCAGGTGTGGCGACACGCCTAGAGGCTGTTTCGGCCGTGCTAGCCATATGCGCCCGATTCCGCCTCCGGTCTTCTTGACTCTGTCTTCACAGCCAGCCCATGTGGGTGAGAAAGAGAGTGCAGTAGATGGCCCACAAGTCTAAAGTGTTTCACGTGCAATTCATTGTTTCTACAATATCCTGCTGTTGAGCATGCTGTGAGTATCGTCGAAATTGACAGTCAAACTGTCGATGTTTGGTTTATGATTATTATTATTATTATAGTACGGGAATATTTATCTCATCTGAAGTTTGGCGCTAGACCACCTCTTTTACCGTCTTATCCTTTACTGTTTTAGGTAATGCTACACTTATAAGAATAAAGTCTGTATTAAAGGTGACAATGCGATCACTATAGCAGTTTTTGCATTTGTCTGAATTTTGCCGGCAATATCATCTGTCCCTACTCCTAGCTGCTACAGCTGACGTCAGGGCCCGA